ATAAAAAATATTATATATATATATATATATATATATTATGAAATGTCATGTTTGTTATATTATTTATTTTAATATATGTCTCTTGCGTATAAAGTATGTGTATTAATTAAAGAACATCTCCAATGCTCTACTTTGAACATTAATTAAATTTGAACACATGTCAAATGATGAATGGAATGTAAATCCATGTAATATGAATGTCAAAAGAGAAAACTTTAATTTGGAATACACATTTTCAATGCATCCCCTTCAAAACCTTAAAATATGTTAAATTTTTTATGAGTTGGCTTTCAAACACTCTTTGGAAAATTAGAAAGTGGGCTTCACACTTTGGATATTTATTGTCTTCATGTCAGTATAAAAGAGTCCATAACATTATGAATTGGAGAGTAATTTTTGTAATCATTTTATAACTTGATGATGTGGTTAACATTTTATTAAGTCAACATCTCACATTGAAGATGCTCAAACAAAGTACAACTCTGTCTTAGCAATAGCCTGTAAAAATGATTATTGTATTATTTATTTTTTTCTGAACGACAATAGCCTAAAATTAATGATAAAATAATGATTGTTTCATTACTTACACAGATATTGTTTTTCGGAACAATAGCTCTTTTGGCATACTGTAGACAGGGGTTGACATGCTCATCAATGATGTGATAAGATAATAATATATGGTGTTCAAAAATATATTTTTATTTATCCTTTCTCGTTCAATCACGATTTGGTCTAATTTGTGAAACTTAAGGTGTGTATTTGTTTGGGATTTTAAGTATATTTAATTTTTTTAAGAGGGGTTTTTTTTGTAATTTATAAAAAAAAAAAAATTTAAGACTTTAAAAATTATGGTGTATTTTTTTTTATCAAACCTCAAATATATTAAACAAAAAAACTCATATACACCAGTTCGAGTAATCAGTAAAATTATGGTGTATTTAATTTATACTTTTTAAGACATTCAAAAGTTTCGAGGTATTAATTGTGATTTTAAAAAATCTTACAAAATCCTGAGGTATTTAACTTATTGAGACTAAGATTTGTTAAAACTGATTTGAGATTTCAAAAGCAAAAACCATATCTGAAATACACTTCATCCCACCTCCCAACTTAAGGTTTCACAATATTCCTCCTAAATATGTAAATCTGAAAAAGTCATAAATCTTATAAAGTCTCAAAATGTCACTCAAAATTCCAAATGAATACAAGATTTTTGAATTTATGAGGAATAATATGAAATTAGATTAGGAGGTGGGATTCAGAGTGAAATTTAGTATA